AGGCATGCATCTACCAACTTATTCAACCTAAATGTCGACATCATGGAGGAACCCTCATCTCCAATAGAAGAACCTCTTCATGAGCCAGGTGTGGATGGTGTTGAGATTGGACTATTCGTTCAGCCAGAATCACTGCAGTTCAACATAGACTTAGATGATGATGATGTAGATGAAGTTCCCAGAAATACAATACACATCGAACCTCCAGCACACATGTATCAAGCTGACTATGGTGCTATATACGGGCCAGAATTTGAGTATATGCCCAATGTCGGTGACTATAGCTTCAACTCATCACTCAATGATGGTGAGTTATATAAAGGAATGGAGTTTCCATGCAAAGAAGAAGTGATGTTGACAATTAAGAATTACAACATTCACAATAATGTTCATTCTAGAGTCGAATGTTCTAACACTGAAAAGTACGTATGTCACTGTGTCTAACGTGATAACGGATGCAATTGATGGTTTGTGTATCGAATATGAAGAGGAAAAACAATATATGGGAAGTAAAGATATAAAACGATCCTCACACATGATGGGTTGGAGGGGTCAATCAGGATCATCCCAACTTGGACTCCAACATTATCTGTCAAGACATCATGCCCATGGTAAAAGCAAGCTCCCATATACTTATTGGTACTGATTTCAGCTATACAATCGCAGTATGAGTATATCGTCTCATACAGGAAAGCATGGAAGGCAAAGCAGAATGCCATTAAAAAACTTCACAACGAATGGGATGCATCTTACAACGAACTACCAAGTTGGTTTAGGGTAGAAAGTAGATTGAATCCTGGAACAATTGTCGACTTCAAAACTTGTCATGCATACCACAATGATCGAGTGCTTCGCGATTGATGTCACTTCTATCGGCTTTTTGGACTTATCCACAGTGCATTAATGTTGTGAAATACTACAAGCTCGTGGCCCAAATCGATGAGACATTCTTGTATGGAAAATACAAGCAAGTTTTACTATTGGCAATTGTACAAGATGGTAATCGCAACATTCTTCCAGTTTCTTTTACCCTTGTTGAATGAGAAGATACATATTCTTGGGATTTTTTTCTCAGAAACTTACGCTTACATGTTATCACATGGGAAAAAATATGTGTCATTTCATATCGCGGAGCTGTGATCAAAGCAGCAATGGATTCTTTGGGTCCAATGTGGCAACCACCCTATGTACAACATTGGTACCATATCTGACACATTGCTGCTAACTATCATGGAAGGTTCAAGAAAAAAGATGAGCGTCAATTACTTGTGCACATGGGTATGTCAAAATGTTATTTTTCATTTATCAATCATTTTTATTTTTTTATGGAACAAAGTTAGTGAGTTCTACATTTGATGCTCAGATTATGAACTACTACCTAAAACATTTGAGTCCATGTTTCAAAAGTTGAGAGGAAAGAACGAGGAAGGATACAATTACATCAGCCTCATCAACAAAGAAATATTGACAAATGCATATGATGGTGGATATCGATATGGACACATGACGACCAACTTGGTTGAGGCTATCAATTCAACCTTAAAGGGGGCATATGATTTACTGGTAACGGCTTTGGTTAAAACGACATATTTTCATTTGGGAGCACTTTTTGCCAATCTCGGGGGACAAGCTCAAACTTGGATGCAAAATGATCATGTCTATCACCCAAGATTAGTTACAGATCTACAAAAAAGAATTGTTGCATCAAATGAAATATTTGTAAAAAGCTTCTCTAAAACCCATGAATTATTTCGTGTCATAGAGATGCCACGACCTCTTCAAGGGATTCAAGCAAACTCGTTCAGAGTTGATCTACAAGACAAATGGTGCAACTTTGTATTTTTTCAAGTTCTGAAGTATCCATGCTCTCATGTCATAGCAGCTTGCTCGCATACCTTTCAAGACTATAATATTTTTGTGGATCTCGTATACCGACTTTCAGAAATGTTTAAGGTATATAAATATGAGTTCCCCTATAGGTAATGAGAAAGACCATGATGAGGTTCAGAATTGGCTTGCGATGGTACCATATTCGTCCTTATTGAGGGAGCTCGGTCGTCCAAAATCCACTCGAATTCATTGTGATATGGATATTCAGGAGACGTCCAAAGAAAATAAAAGATGTAGGCATTGTAGAAACCTATGACACAATATGAAAAAAATGTCCATCTCTTTTGTCATCAAGTAACCGTTGATGTTGTGCTTGATGTAGTTTTTGTTTATGAATTTTAAGTTTCTGTTATTTAATTTACTTTCAGTTAATGTCATTTGAACATTGCCGATTAATTGGCAACTAAAGAAATTAAATAATAAAAACAATTCGAACAAACTAAAAACAAGAAAATGATACAACAAAAAAATTAAAAATAACTAAAAAAATTCAAACAATTAAGTAATAAAAAAATTAAGAAACAATATAAATAAAAAGTCAATAATTAAATAAAAAAAATTACAATTGATGGTAAACAAAAAAAATAATGAAGTAAACAACTATATCGATGTCGGCGTCTTGAATGTGTTCCGCAAGGCGGTGATTGTCTGTGTCGAGGAGGATTTCTTCATATAACTTGTTCTAACTCCTCACTCTCATCATCATCATCATCATCATCATCATCATCATCACCATCAGGAGAAGATACATTTTGTTGATGAGAGACGAATGACGAAGTAGCACCTCCATAGAATAAGGACCTTGGATGTGTATGACTGACTATCCCACCGCTCACAGAAAACTGTGAAAACTGTGAAAAGATCGACATCGATGAGTGCAAAAACTGTACAGGAGGTGTATGTGCATGTGGTAAAGCTTCACCCACCAAATAACCAGCATAAGAACCCCAAGTTGGATCTACAAGCATGCAACTATAATATCCGCCAGCGTATTTGTGCACTCTCCACACGGAATATGGAATGTGTGTGTCTCTGGTCTCCACCGCTTAACTAATGAAAAAAATAAGGTTGGATTCAAGGTTACAGTTCCTTCATATGTTGCTACGTAATCGAATCCAGTCTTGACTAAATACGACCGTACACGAGTAGGTATCCCTAACTTAAGGTTACAAATGAATGAATCTAATACACGACATCTCTCCTAATTTAATAAATATTATAGAAATTAAAATATAAACTAATACTAAACAAATAAAACAAATAAAATATTAACAATAATTAAAATTACAATAGAATTTAAAATTTTTACCGTATCAGCAAAATGTCTCTAGATATGATGTTCATATAAACGTAGCAAACCGTCTTCCATTTTATAACAGCAAAAATTAATAAAAAATTAGTATAATAAAATAATAAATTATTGGTTTATTATAATACAATAAATATATTTTACCTTTTTAATAGAAAAATTGATACTCGAAATAATGAGAGAATTGAGATTTGAGAGTGGTTTGGAGGTTGTGTTTTGTTGTGTTTGAAGGAAGAGATGAGGGGTATTTATAGGAAGAGATGAGGGGGAAGACGGATTTCCCATAAACGTGGGAGGTGAACGGTTGGGGTATTAAATGAAATGCGTGGATGGTGATCCGCGCCTTAAGTACGCGTGTCAGATGCCCCAAAAAAGCACGGATGGCGATCCACACTTGTCTTGACATGGCACCATCTCGGATAAGGCGCTGATGGCGATCTGCGCCTTTCATGACATAGCGCCAGCTCGAACAAAAACCCGCAAAGTCATTTGTGCCTTGTCAGAAAGAGTGCTAGATTAGTAAAATTAGAAGAAAATGTGTCTAACATGTAATTATTATCATCGTGAATTTTGAGTATGATAGACGTGAAATCAAGTTAACTAAAATATAAGATTATTTCAAGAAACACAATGTGGTTGAGTTTTAAATGCATAGTAGTCCAGTCCAAATATTTGACTTGATTTATAGTTGAATGATAATTTTTTATTTGAGACTTGTATTTTATGTTGATTTGTCAAAGTAAAAATATTGAAAATTTTTCTTTGTTTCCAAGTTAACTATAATTTATCATCCAAGTGATGTTAATCAAAGATAATCAAACAAACTAAAACTTTAGATAATGAATAATTTTATCATAAAATATTTTAAATTTTGTGAAAAAATATCAAAACAGATACGAAGATGATTGGTTAGAGGAAAATTGATTTTGAACAATTAAATTATTACCAAAGCTGGTAATTAATTAGTTATATAATATAAAAAGAGAATAAAATATACATCATTTTATTACTTATTATTAACAATAAATATAATAACAAATTATTTATTCACTTTAACTTAATTGTTGGATTAAAATCATGATAATATTTGGTTCGGATTGAATTTGAGCAAATTAAATTTAGATTACTTTTGATTTGGATCAAATTGGATACAAATCAATATCATTTCATCTAAAATTCAGGTCGATTTTGATTCGATTAATTTTATTTTTGAATTTAATTTAAACCAACACGTTCGGATCCATATTGAGTAACTTGCTTTGAGGTCTGTGAGGGCCACTTGCTTTGATTCCTCAACGAAACCGGCATGTAATGAAGAAGTAATCGCTCCAATCAAGGATGGCTCTTTTCTGGACTCCCAAGCAACTGCCGTAGCCTTCGTAAGTGACGCCGCACCTCGTGCGTATGCTCCATTAGCTCATGGCTGACACCGTGGTTCTCCGCCTGGAAGAAACCCCACATGTTGGTGGTTTTCAGTTTCACTAGTGAAGGAAGGCTTATCACTTGGTGGCTTCACATACCGCTCTGGAATAGCATGCATGCCACTCTCAGACAAAGACTGAACTCGAATCACCAGATCAGGCCAACTCGTAAGACCACTTATCTTAACGTTAATTCCATATGAATAGAAAAGGAAGAGATACAAGGACTAGCCGGATGAAAAGAAGGGAGGGGTAAAAGAGGTTTATATAAGGATTAGGAACACCGTAGACACAAAGTTTATGGAGTTCACTAATCTACGGGATGCAGATGATGAAAGGAATAATAATAATGTACAAACAGAAGCAAAGCAGGCAATAAATTTGGAGATGAGAAACACATTTTCTTACACCATCAACTAAAACTTTCATTTCATTCCCTACAGGATGTAAATTCAGCAACCGTGTTTCATCATCACTAGTGTCACAATTTCCATCTTTCTATTTCCTAGCATAGCTAATATACCTTAGTTAACAGAAATTAGAATGAACTTACACGTCATCTGAGAAGCAACTGATATGATAAGCCTCAGGGGCATTAGAACTTTGGTCTTGAGTAGACGAAACTTTCGATGCAGAAAAAGTTCGATAAGGACGATGGACAGGAGGCAAGATCAACGCTGATTGCCTGTCCATTGCCAGTAGCCGTCCACATTTGCTGTACCAATAAGTTCATTTTGTTACTAGAAAAATATTACAAGCTAGGGAGAATTATACAAAAAAAATGAAGGGGAAAGAAATCATACTTGCAGACTTTGGTGAATAAAGTTTGATAGCTGCATATCCAGTGCTACAAAAACAAAAGCAGAAACACCTCATTAGCATGAAATGGCTGCTAAAAATTGAATAACAATTCACAGCTTGTCAGACACTGTACCAAAAGAGAATGCAATGCTGTTTTACTTCTGATTCCATGGAAATACTGGAGGGCAACAGTAGCATGCTCCTGTGATGGGCAATAATTATTAGTATACTGAAAGCTTCAGCTCAGTGGATATAATTAACTCAAACTAAAGAAACTATTACCGTGATCTGTCTAAATACATGGTAGACCGAAGAACCTCTAGAATGCATGTAACTGCCGCCCTGTGCAGAATAAAAAAAGTAAATACAGAATTGCAATTTAACTGCTTTATTGGAGGCAAAGCAATCAGAAGCTTGGAAGTTGGAACTATGAAGCATTGAAGAAAACAAATTCAAGCTTTGGAAATAGGAACCGGATTCCTAGTCAACTTTTTGCCAAGAAATTGAGTTGGCCAAATAGGAAATAGTCTACATTGCATTTTTGCTTTCAAATGGAATCAAAGCTTCCCACTGTACAAGCCCCCCCCCCCCAAAGAAAAAAAATGAGAAGCCAATCTTTTAAATTGCATCAAAGCTTGCCTATACAGACTCAAGAACAAGCCAAGCTGATTCAAATAAAAGGTGATGACAAGCTTGAACTAGACTATTTAGCTCCGGAAAGCACTTGAGCCATGAATATGCACAATCAATTTCATGAAACCATGACTATATTATGTATTTCATTTGCCTCTGCTTCTATGCAGCAATACATATATAGAAGCATCAAAAGATACTAACACAGAATGATCTTTACTAAGAAACTTAACTTATCTAACACATATCTAATATGATAAGCTTGACAAATCATACAACATAACCACAATTTGCCTATAATGAGTTTCAAAGCAGAGAACAAGAAGCATTCACATCTTCTGAAAAGATTACCTCATCTGGAGAAAAGAAAGCCACTGAATCTGGATCTGTTGAACCAGCTGGATGCAATGAGACTACAGCTCTGAAGACAGAGGGAAAGAGCAGCTCAATTACAGCAATCTTATCCATAGCAACAAAATTATGGGATGCTGGTCTAAGTATACTTGAGCTGTGAAAATTATGTTTTGGTGCTTCCATGGCATTATCATTCGCTGAAGCAGGCAAGGACGAAGCTCTTTTCAGCCAATCCAGTCTTTCATAAGTCAAAACTTTCAGATTTGGCATGTCTTTCTCCAAGTTAGTCAAAACATCAGATAATGTTTTACAATTACTAAGGTTTTCATGATTATCTTCTGCCTGAGCTGGGAAATTGCGGTGTTTCTTTGACACATGGTCAGTGCCCTCAACATCCTCTTCATCATTAAGGTGTGGAAAAAATCTCCTTTTCTGGTCTGTGAAGGCTTTGAGAGCAAGCCTGTGAAAATTAGAAGCATAAGATTAACACTCTGACAATATCGAGTTTCAGCACAAACAATTGTCAGCCAAGGAAATGAAGCTAAGTTAAAAAGAACTCGCTATATGATAGTACTATGTTGCAACAAAAAATTATGATATTGAATTGAAACGCAAGAAAACAGCACCACACTAGAGTGCTTTCCATGAGCAATATACATTAAGTTGAAAAATGATAACATAGAGATAGCCTAAGAAAATCATTTCATTATATATTCAGAGCAACTCCCTTGCAATTATATATGTGGCCCAAGACTGTAGCTGGTCAGTGTGTTAGGAGCTTGGTTCAAATCTTTTGTTTATGTGTGGAACAAACCTTATTCATTCAGAATTAGACTAGTGCAAGCTAGCAATACCTACTAAACAAATAGTTATTTTAGAGGAATACAGTAAATCAGTGAACCATTTCATAAACCTCTAAGCAATTCATATTGCATGTTAAACAATGTCAGAATCTACTAGAATTAATAAGAAAATTTTACTAATAAATTTGCATCTTCATCACTATTCACATTCATTTCAATCTGAACCTTAAAATATCAGTCATTCAAGTCAGACATGTAATATATCATAATACTATCAGAAAATACTAGTGCTGAATCCTTTACTTTCCTGTAAGATTTAAACCCTATGCATAATAGTAGACAACTAAATTCATATGATTTTGCAACATTCAATAACAAATCATTAAGGCGTTGCTTTGCATCAAAGATTAGGTAGAATTCAACAATATCAAACATCTACAATATCTATGACTAATTGAGTACGAACCTAGTCCGGTCAACAGCAGATGCACCAGCCTGGCCAGCAAGCTGTCGTTTCCAAGCATAAGCCACAACTGCGCCGTCAGGACACACTAATGGCATATGCAAACCCCAAGAATTACTCCTTGACCTAAGTGACTCATTCAACACTCCAGATTCTTCCAGCTGCTTTCCTAACGATAAAATCAAATACAAATTTCAAAAACCTAGGCCTGCAAGGCGACATCACTTCTAATATTAAGAAAAAAAATTCAAATCTTTTATCTGATGTTTACCAACGGTGCGGAGGTCTTGGAAGTGTTGGCGCATGGATTCGTCTTCTTGGCGGAATAAGTGGAGAGGTTTGGAGCTTTGATGCGGCTGCGCAGCGACAAAAAGGGCCTCGAGAAGTCGATCAGCGCCAAGACGGATATCGGCGATGAGTCTCGCGGCCTGTCCGAGTCTATCCATCGCTTGAGCCACCTGCTTCGGCGGCGCCTCCCCGATGGTTGACGAGGGAGGTGTTGACGTTGTCGCCGACGAAGACGGAGGCGGTGCCGCGGACTGGAGGTGATGTTGATGCTGTTGCAGCATTAGGGTAATGTAAATTAATCCGAAGATCTGAAAATCAGGATATTCGAAGAGGTTTTACAAACACTCTTCTTCTTTGATGTATTCTAGTAACACCGGAAGGTAAAGACTAATGATATTTATACTCTCGAATCTTTTTATTTTTATTTTGAATTAATCTTTGATATCGGTCCATTTTTTTTAATCTTTAAACTTTTAATTTTTTGGGGGTTAAAATAAACAAATAATAGATTCATTAAAGTAACATCGATAACTTTATTTTTTTATCAATAATAACATTAATTGCTTATTCTTTTTGCAAAAAGAATTATATAAAAATTATAAGATATTAAAATAATAAATATATAAAAAGTTTATGTTAATTATTAAAAACGTAAAAATATAATTCTTTATTTTTTAACCATTTTTTACTTCAAGTTAGATTATAAGATATAACAAAGATAACATAATCTCAAGAAAATTAAAAATACATTAAAATCCAAAAGGTCTAAGAAAAATAGAATCAAACCTTTTCATTGAATATATATTCATCTTTAAAAAAAACCTTAACTACTATCATAATTTCTATATCTCTATTCAAATTTAGACATAATAGTGATGTAGGCATGAATAGTGAGAGAACAAATCTAATAGATTGTTTTGCAAATAGTTTTAAATGCATTGACAAACTATCACAAAAGGGATCTGAAACAATTGATATTTGTTAATAGTAAAAAAATGTACAATAAAAAGAAAAAAATAAATGCTTCAATAATATGTAAAAGAAAGAAATCTAGACTGAGGATGTGTTTATTTAGATCTAAATCAAAAGAAAATTACATAATAAAAAATGAGAAAAAAATAAAGATAGGGTTAAATTTTTTTATCGATTAGTACAATTTAAAAAATATATGTTAAACATAATTCTATTAAATAATAAATCCGAGGCTTTTTAAGAAAACGTTACGAATGATATTTTTTCTTTTTTTATTTGTTTTATCACCGAATTAATAAATGCTTTTCAAAAAACTTGTAGGGCTAAAATGATTTTGAGACTAAAAGCAATGTTAAACAAATAGTTTTTTGAGTTGAAAACTACTTTTCAACTTGGTTTAAAAGATGGTAGCAATGCCAAACATCATTACCCGAGTAGCCAAACTTAGTGCAACCCATCAAACTAGGGGTGTGAAAAAAAATATGATCATCCAATAAGAAAATTTAGATATCTGGTCTGTTTTTTGGTTTTCAAGTGATTCATATCGGATATTCGAAAAATTTTGGATAATCAGATCGGATATATGTTTCAATTTCAGATTATCCAGAAATCCGGAAAAAAAAATTAGACTTTTAGATCTAAGATGTCACGCCCCAATTTAGGGGTGAATTTTATTAATTTAAGTAGATTTAAAGAACTAAATTACAAAATTTTGAAGTTTATAGCATGTTTTAGAAACTCTAGGAAATTCAAGGACCTAGCCCTGAATTTGCTCATTTTATGTCTACAGAAAAAAATAAATAAATAAATAATTAGGTGATTGCAAGGGTTCAAACCCCTAACCACCGATAAGACTACCCATGCCTCAGTCATTTAAGCTAGCACTGTGTTTGACTTTTTCGGGCAAATATACGTATTAACCTTAAGGCTTGGGATAAAAATCCCCAAACCCCAAAATCCCTAACCACTGACCTTTTCACCGTCGATTTCTCCACCGTACGGCCACCACTTAGCTCACCACCACTCCCATTCGACTCGTCGTCTACCGGTGACCAAGACCCAAGCATTATCGAAGCGTGATTCGTCGTCAATCGACGCGAATCAATGTTCAAAACCCCTGCACCATTGGCCTCATCTTCGTTGTGCGCTCAAAACTCGGTCAAAATCGTCACACTGTCATTGCTCCACCGTTGTCACTCGCTGGTCACCGTTGGAAAATCCACACTCCGTCGTGTTTCGTCAAAAAATAATACTTGCACAAAACTCTCGGGCCAGAGATCTTGTAATTCGAAAATTTTCATCGTCGTTCAACGACTGGAGCCATCACACGCGTTGCTCCCTACGCGTGGGCGTCGTCCACATCCAGAGGGTCTGTCGAATTGATTGAACCGGTCTAAATCAGTTGGATCGGTTTAGACCGAGCCATCGAGCTGAGCCGAGCCGAGCTATTGACCATGCCTTGATCGTTGACCAAACGTTGACCGGCTGTTGACTTTTTTGAGGAACACCTATTCTGATGTTTTTCGACGTTCTGAGTCTATTTTTGAGGTTTGTTTATACAAATTCGAACACAGTAAGTTGTTTTTCACTGCTTAATATCTCGATTCGATCCGTTTTCGCAATTTAGCTTTGTTTCTAATGCAATTTCTCTTGATATGTATGAGCAATTATTGGACGTTGAAGTCAAGTTCGAGAGTGGTCGAATGGAATTTAAATGTTCGATCGGTGGAGCACGAGGTAATACTCTATTACCTTTTGTATGCTTTCCGGAACACTTTGATAATTGGTAAATGCATGAATGGAAATAATTGGTCCATAAGGTGTATTTAATTATCATTGGAATCAAAATGAATTTGGAATAAGACAGAACATTGTAATAGACTCAGACAGGTTGTAAAAGAAATTGGTAGACCGATCAAAAACAAATCTAAGTTCAGTGATTTAATTAGTAAATCAATCAATCTCGGGACTCGTAAATTCTGATTAATATCATTAAAGGTTAAATGTCGAAAATGATTAGATAAGAAACAACAAAATTACTGGTATGATATAAAGATAAGGATTTTCCCAGAAAGTGAAAATAATCATGTTAATCGCTTATGATCTTGATATGATAAAGGACTTAAATTTTCTAATTCCTGAGCGAACAACTGGAGGGTAAATTACAGAAAGTACCTTACACGTCTGAATACCCGATATGAAAAAATTGAACTAAATGGAAGTATTGTACATATCTGAATTCTCAAAACAATAGAGTTAATGTAGAAACTCTGAAGTGACGGGATAAATTGAATACTAATTGATTTAAGTACCCCAATGACCTTGAATTAAGCGAATAACTTGGATAAGTCTGGAAACACTGATGATCTTATATGTTATATCGTCTATAAGGGTTTTGAACCACGAATCAAGCACGTCGACATTTCTTGATATCGTTGTAATTTTGCAATGAAATAAAGACCATTTGAAATATATGTTTGTCTCCCTAAGATCCTTTTAGCGATGATTCTGAAGATGATCAATTGACAAGAGTTGTCGGTATTAAAGAGTGAATACCCTTGAAGTGCAACGATTTGACCAGTTGACAGGTGTCGTTGCTGGGATTTGTATTGTTCAAGTTAACTCGATATTCCAATAGATTGACACAAATCATAAACGCCCTGAATATTCGTTTCTCCCTTATTAGCTCAAGTCACTAATAATTCTCCAAGAACCTAACGCCCAAAATGCCTCTGAATTCCCGGATAATGGAATTACTCCTGTCATATCTGAAAACATGAGTAACTCTAATGAAAAGGATTCTGAATACATTTCTAATTACATAGTGCCTCCGAAAAATATCTAAATACTATATGATCCTGATAAATCATATTCTGAATCACTGATGAATCTGTAAGCTATCAAACCCTTTTATGGGGATCTCAGTTCTAAGTTTAATCAGTTTACAGAAGTTTCATGACTCCCTATCTGATAAATATTAATCGGCTCCGAATAATATCTAGAACCTCTAGTGTGTTCCCTGATCATACGGATGTTTTCTCTGATTTTAAAAGTATGTCTCTGTTATCTGAAATACATTCTGACCTTTAATTTCTAGTCTGAATTTGATATCTGTTCTGATCTCTAATTTCTGTTTAATATGCTCTGATTTCTGATATCTCTATTTACTTATTGAAATCATTTTTATACGGGGTATTATGAGACTCTGGTATGACTGAAGACTTTGGCAGGTTTAGTCATTGCTGGTAATTCCTTGTATAGGTTCAACATTGACTGGTATTTCTTTATTGACCTAAGGCGACTCTTGGGTGGGCTCCTAGGCCTAATGAGTCTAGTGGTAAGACTTTATGGACCCTAAGGCACTCCCTTAGGGTGTCTCCTCTGTTGTGTGCATTGGGTAAGTCCTTATAGGCCTGAGGGTACTCCCCTCAGGTGGGCACCTACACTTCGGCTAGGGTAAGACCTTATGGACCCAAGGTGCTCCCTTAGGTTGGTACCTACGCCCTTTAGGCCTAGGATAAGTCCTTATGGATGCAGTCTGGTTAATTGCATATTGGCGTTCGGTTGGAGGGTTTTACTATTGTTTTTAAAAATATGTTTTAAACTGCTATTGTTTTAAAAAATATGTACATTTTCACTAGTTTTGTGGGAACACACTAGACACCCTATTATGATCTCCTGAACCTAGTCCTCCGAGCGTTTGCTCTGAACTGAAAGCTTATTGTCTTTTACTACTTGAGATATCAGTGGGACCTCAACTCAACATAAAATCTGTAGATGTCTGAATCAATAAGGAAGTTTTATGCTTACCTATTATCTGCATGTCCTTCAACATCATTTAGTAGTACTGTATTACTGAGTTTCCCAAAACTCACTCTATTACTCACTATTTCAGGTTAAAATTATTGAACTAGCGCAATTATCGACATCAGTAAAGGAGTTCCACCGACATTCTTGCGGAGTACGATGATTGTGTTTAGGGGGCATATAGGTGGTATTCTGTTTTTATATTCGAGTCTAGAACTTGTATTTTAAATATAAATGATTTTATGATTTGACATGTTTTAACAAAAAATTTAAATTTTATGGGATTTTTACGGTGGGTCGCTCCGATGGCCCTAATGTGACACCTCATATCGGATCGGGTCACCCGCATCGGTCTGTGTGTGTTATATTAGATACTCTTTAGTCTAATAAATGAGTAACTCACTAACTCATTAAAGCTCTAAACCAACAAAAATTAGGATATTTAATTATTTATTGTTTGTGAGTAATTATATATATATATATAGTAGAGGTATAGAATAAGTTTCATTAAATCAAAAAATTTAAAATTATTTTTTTTCAAAATAAATTTTATATTCGAATTCCGATATCTGATTTTTCCAAATCGGATAATCACTATATTAAGTATTCAAAATTTCCAGATACTGAATTTTTAAATCGAATCAAATTTGATATCCGAACACGTACATGAAACGCGTCCCTTATCTCAACTTCCAGGGTAAAACGTAGACACCAATCTATGGAGTAAAGGCCATGAATGATAGAATGAGCCTCTCTCTAGCTGAATTAGTAACAACCGTGTGGAACATTCCACTCCATCACTATTAACTTTACACCAACTCCAACGCAGGCTCATCCCAACTAATATAGTCACAAAGCGGACTACTACTAGCAAGAGCATTCACGATAATGGCCAACTCGGATTGCAACAAGCATGCTTTTTATGGCTTTAAATACACCATCTTTCTCAACAAACTCGTCATTAGAAATGAATAGAGTTTGCTAATCCACACATCCTTAGCAAAGTAAGCTTAGGGAACCCACAAGGATAAGTTAATGCCCTGTTTATCTTACTTTATCTCAAGTCCAACCAGGCTTATCAATTACCATCACTGTTCATTGGGGGAGGGGGGTTTGCAAAACCCATTTATTCATCACTTAAAAGATGGTAAGCTTCTACTCGTGTGAAAGACTCGCGAGAGGGATAAAAGTATAATACTCTCGACTTCCAAACTAAACAAAATTATAAATACAAATAAAAGCAGCCTCGGATAATAATTTAATGCAAAAACTTCTACATAACATTTGTTCAAAGTACTTGCAGTGCCTCCCAGAATGTTTGAACTTCATTTTCCTTGTTCTAAAAAAAATAAAACTTATTTGAGATTTAAAGAGTTCAGTTGAGTGCTTCAAACTCTTAATACAAATCATACTATTTCAATATATGGATTTGCCTTTAAAAGTTTCAACTTGCAAAAGAATAGTTCTAGTGTCCAATTCATAGAGACAAATGGAGGGACAGATTTGCGATTGCCGACGAACAAATAAATCAAGTTTCATCAGGAAGAAACTTATATAACCAGTCGCATCAGCTTGATCGGAAAAGTTCCCAATATTATTTTTCACATTTCAATCCCAAAACAATGCAAAATCAAGATAGCTGACCCTGAAGTAAAGTTGAACTCCTATTTTGCTTATGTACTTTTCCTCCACTAGGTTTACTCTTGGTTGAACTCCTTTTAATAGTCTGCTTATGTGTTTTCCCCCATTTGGTCCCTTCTTAGTCGGATACTCTTCATCTGTGTCCAATGAAAAGTAGGGGCTGAATACTTTGAGAACTTGTTCGTAAACTGGCTTCTTGAAATCCACGGCCTGCTCAAAAATTAGTTTGGAAGAATCAGCCAAAGAATATGGCAGATCTCCGCCAAATATTGCTATTTCTATAAAACTTTATAGTAAGGATTGAGTAAGAAGAGATACTTACAAGCTCCACAACTTGTTCTGGTAACCTCCATGACCACTCTTTGAACTCTGGCTTCTCCGAACCATCACCTAAAAGATTGATTTCTTCTTCATTCCCGGTGAACTTAAAAAGAAACCTGTGTCAGAATCAACACAGAAAGCCAATAAGAAGCATTTAAGTTGAATTTTAAAAATTCAGATGAAGAGTGGATTTTGATAGAATGATGAAGCAAATCCGCAATAAAAAATTATTCACAGAACTGCATATTAAAAGCATCATATATATCATTGATGTATCATGCACATACAAAGCAATTATTTTGAATTACAAGAGAAGGTGATCGGTATGTAAAAAAAGCCAGAGGAAAGATAGAAGACGGAGACCATTATAAACACTGCATGATGAAAAAAAAACTATTTTCTTACAGTTAGTAGTAATGATCCACACACAAAAGAATGCAAAATATAGGCAAGACTCAACTATGTTATCTCGACTCTTCATTTTGTTGAAATACACAAGTCCAACACCTATGTGTGATGCATATCCGAACATGGTTTTGGAGATATGACCTTCAAAAATCCTTCAAATGCGTGAAAAGCCTTATCCGAATTAGATTTATTTGATGGTGGACACTACAGTCCTTACCATTTCTGTGCTTGACCTTTATAATTTGTTCCCCATCTACGATTAAGCTTATGTTTCACTTTAATAGGAAAATCATAAGTCAGCCAATAAGGTGCCTGCACATTAAATGTTAAAAATCAGTTCAACAACTTTCAAAGAAAAATTGTTTCATCATTTCGGATGCCATAAAACAGAGATCTATATTAATGCAAATCATCTTCAAACATGCCTCTGCAAGAAATTCGGCTGATGTAACACCAGTTTCTTCTCTAAGTTCTCTCATGGCTGCTTTTCTTAGATCTTCACCGTTATTAGCACCACCCTGCACAACACAAACTCAAGACAATCGGTAATGCATGTCATAAACCCTATGAGATTCAAATATCCTAACCCAAGAGACTTAAAATGTTCACATTTGACCCCTAACAACCAGGGTGAAGACTATAGCTCTAATGTTCACATGCATCATATCCTTACACATTATACAAGCCTTAAGACGAACTACAATGTTATCTTGTTCAATTATATTCAGCAAAGATCCCATTTTCACCTAAACATAACTCCATTAAACAAGCTTAAGTCGGTGTACGGGACACATTTAGAGAGTCACAAAAACAAGAAGCATTTGCAGTCAGCTCCAAAAAGGGAAGCAATTGCTGAACCCCCTAAATCTTTCATTCACAATATTAATTTTAAGTAATCCAAATTCAAGGATTTAGGATTTAATTAGGAAGCAATTATTGAATTTGTTTAAAGCTGTGCAAAGCCAATTACGAGAGGATTTTAACAATGTCAATTTCACTAAACTAAGAACAAATCAATAATGCGAGAACGGTGAACTAATTTCAACTTTGCCCTGCAGAATTCAATTGAAAAATCATGAACAACAACGGGGGGAAATCCAACCAATAGAATCTTATCCAACAAGTTAAACCCAGAAACTCTGGAAACAAAATAAACAAAATACCTGAGGCATTTGCCAGGTATTTGGGATATATATCCTCGAAGCTGTAAATATCTGAAAATCCAGAAAATAAAACAGTATCAACAATAAAAAACAAAAGAATGAAATGAACAAACGAGAAAATCAGAGAAGTGGGACCTTTTTAGAAGGATTTACGAGACAAATTCCGACATTTTTCCTATAGCCGTCAGGAGGACCTTCAATGGACGCCGAGATATTTGTCAATGGAGCTTTGAGCAGACGATAATACAGTGGCAGCCCCGAAAATTTAACGAATCGACAATGGCAATTTCGACTGTCGGTCCCATTAAACACCGAATTTCCCACCAGTTGACACCCTGCCATTTTGTTGCGTCGTTTTAACAAGTCACTGACTCAGTCCTGGTTCCCGAGAAATCCCAACCCAACTGTCTTTTACTTTCAGCACCCCATCAGCTTCCTCGCAAGTATCATATCCACTTCTGTCATTTCCATAACTACCCTCGCCATCTTATCCTATCTTTCCGGTTTGTACTTCCCCGCCCTTGAAACCCAGATTTTTTCCCTTCTTGTATAAAAATGAACCCAGGTTTATATTTTCTTGTTTTAATTACTCTATCGTTAAATTTCCAAATTATTTTAATACTTTTACTATATTGCGACATTTTTATTAATATTAATGTCATATAATATTTAAAATAAAAAAAAGGCAAATAAAGGATTTTTATTGGAATTTAAAGAGTCAAAAAAGCGAGGAAAATGAGAATTCTCTGGTAGCTCGTTAGCTGGCTTAATGGGTTTCCAGATTTTCTTCTTCGTTACTGATCTTTTCTTCGATTTGGCTAATTGCAGTCTTCTCGTTTCTGTTTTTTGTTCAATTTCATGGGTTCGAAGTCGATGGTTTGGATTGGAGGAAGCTATTTGTGGGTTCAAAGGAGCAGACTCTTGAGTTTTTTCCTCCTGTTCTTCAAGATGGTGTTGCTACTGTAAAACCCCCTTCTGAGGTGATAGAGGAAGGCATTGCTGACTGGAATCATGCGCTAGTGGGGCAATTCTTAGATTTGGCCGCAAATTTTAGCTCGTTACAACGAATAATCGAGGCGATTTGGGGGAACTCATCACAGGTTAAGGTTAGTCTGGCTGGCCCTAATCTTTATGTCTTCTCATTCTTAAACTCTGATCTAAGGGACTAGGTGATTGAAAACGGTCCCTGACATATACAGAATAAGCCCCTAGTTTTAAGGAAATGGGAGCCTGGGCTTCAGAATCTTAGCTTTGATTTGTCTTACATGCCAGTTTGGGTTCAACTCCATAATGTCCCTTTGGAACTTTACACTCAAAAGGGCCTTAGTTACATAGCTAGTGCAATTGGAAATCCCCTGTATATGGATTCTATAACTGCTGCTAGGTCGAGGCTTGAATATGCCAAGGTGTGCGTTGAGCTCGAAGTTGGGGGAGTTATCCCTGAGTTGATTCATGTGCTTTTAAATGGATCCTCTGTGAGAATTAGGGTGCATGTTCCCTGGGTTCCTAAAAGCTGTGTTAAGTGCAAAGTTTTTGGCTATCATGTTAGTTCTTGCTTGGAGTCTGGTATTCCTTTGAAGCCTAAAGAAACTAAAGTTTGGAGAAAGAAGGTTTTTTCCACTGCCTCTTCTGATAATGTGGTCAATTATGATAATCTTGCCTCTGTTTCTATGGATTTGTCTGAGTCTGTTCCTATTTGTAAGGATGTTCCTTATAGCTCTAGTGGTGAGGCCTTTCATGGAAATAACTGCAACTCCAAGGCTATGTTGGAATACTAGGGGTTGCAAGTGGGGACTGCTATGGAGACCTCTATGCTATCATTGCAAGAGGTTAATGATGATATGGTGATTCCTGCTATAAAGAATTCTGATTGTCCTGTCTTAGATCAGAAGGTCAGTAGCCAGTGTGGTGTTAGTCTTGTTAATGAGGGTGCTGGGTTAGCTGCCTCACAGGCTAATGATTTCCCTCCTCTTAGAGACTCTTTTAAGAAGAAAGCCATGAGTAAGAAGAAGGATCCTTCTAGTTCATTAGATAACCTGGCAGAAGGTTCTAGAAAGGCTCGTGTGGCTTCAATGTGGGTGGTTGTTTTACTTAATGAGATTAAAGCTAAGAAGAAGGACATTTCTGATAAAGTCAAAAGTAGTGTGGTTAGTTTGGGTTCTGGTAGTGGTGTTCCCCTTGTTTCTTCTTGATGATTGTCGCATTTTGGAATGTTAGGGGGTTTAACAACCCTTTTAAACAGATGAAGGTTTTAAGGAGATTGGTTTCTTTTGAGGTTGATGTTGTATGCTTGATGGAAACTCGGATTAGGAGAGAGTTGTAACACCCCAACCCGTACCCGACTTGGATATGAGTCCGAGGTGTCACATTGACCAATCAAAGTATATACTTTTATAAAAAAACCATAGAAAATTTAAAACTTTTATTCTATAAAGTAATTCTTTTACATAAACATATTTAAAACCTTAACAGACTCCGTCAGAGCATACATGTATATCATGACTTGGTTACATGCCAACATACTAAATTATATGACAATACATACTTTACAAAATATTTCTGATCTGAACTTTGTGCGGAGATATGCTGCTCTACGGATCCGAAGCTTGATCTTCTGACTGTTCACACCTACGTGTAAAACACTTACACGCTAAGTCATAGACTTAGTGAGACATGTAAATACATAAAGTAAACTAACAAATGCATGAACATTCCATATAACACATATTATACTTACATACCTATTAAACCCATCACTTTCCGATTTATCCTTACTTATTTCCTTATCATTGATTCAATTCCATCATATGAGCATATATTGAACATAAACATATAGCATCACTTCAACCACAACAATAATTACTTATGATCATATCATACATAATCATATCACATCTCATATCACTATTACCCATACACACTTGTTACCATTATTATCATATAATCCTAACTTATCTCTTATACATATCGCATATCACATGTACCATTTCACGAGAAACACACATATCATTATATCAAATTATGGTTTATTTTCGAAGCCCATGCACACTATTGAGAACTTAAGGTACGTGAGTACATAGAGGTTGTGCACTATGCTGTCACCACAGCTCGTTTAAATCCCACTAGGGGCGCGTAGAATTTGTCCCGAAGGACCACATAGATGTCCCGAATGACCACATAGACCCTGACTCTTGGCATGCCAACTATACCTATAGCTCTCATAACACATGACATGGGCATTATCTTTTACCTCATTACACATTCACATATTCATATCACATAGTTCTTTCACATAGCTCTTTATCACATTTCATATGATCACATAGTCACGTAGTTTACTTTCACGTAGCATTTTCCATGAAATTCACATTATCCATCCTTTTTACACATGATCACATCACATACCTTTTTCTCATATGCATATAACATATTATTTCTTATCTTTTAACATATATTACATATGTATATAATCTTATGTCTTATTATTAATATCTAATCTATTTTATTATACTAGCCTACCATATAGTATTCTAATAGAAGCATATATGGGTCATATTATTTTCATATATATGTTTTATCATATATTTCATGATCACATGAGTTATTATCATAATACAAGCATTTACATAGTTCACACATAAAAATGCATTCAACAATCAAACATATGCATTTACTCATATATCATACATCTAACACCATATCACTACATGTTTATGCTTTAATACTTATATAATATAATATCGAATTGGACTCATCGCAAGTCTTAATTCCTTAACATAACGTACACTTACTATCATGTACTCACCTGATCTCAATAAAACCTCTTAAACTCTTGTTTCCGTTGCGTATCTTACTCTGTCGACCTATCCGAACTTTGCTTTCGATCGATGTCTACATAATCATGCATTGATACTATTAGTATCTAATTAATATACTTTAATCGATCATTTCATAGACTGAATAACGATTTATTTTATTTCCCATTGAAGTGCATCGGTGCATTCTTTAACATGTGCATCGATGCACTACCATGCATTGATACACAATTTACATTCGATGTTTCCATTTTAAGGGGAAGCATCGATGCACTCCTCATGCATCGATGCACCAACTATACTCGATGTTTATTTATTTGAGAGTGCATCGATGCCCAAAAATTACATTTTGAGCCCAAAAATCTTACTTTGACATCAAATTCTACTTATTACCCCTCCTTATGCCTTAAAACTTATCTATACATGTATCAACCTTCTTATAACACTATAAAACTTTACCATCTCCCATAATCCACCATAATTCTTGAATCAAAGAATTTCATTAAATTTTCCATGTGTTCTAAATTCAATTCTATCACCTTTAACTTCTTAATTAACCCATTGACAAGTCAAATCCATCTTTAAAACTTTAAAAACCTCTTTATATCAAGAATTCATTTCTCAACCCTTAATCAAATTTCATTTCTAATTCTCTCCTTTTGGTGTTTTAAACTTATATAAGCTTTCCTTAAGCTTATATAACACTCATGAAATAAAACCCAACTTAAACATTCAAGAATTAATCATAAAATTAAAACTCACCTTTGAGGTTTGAGCTTGAACCCACGAGAAGAAGAAATGAAGGAAAAGAAGAGTTCTAGATCACTCTTCATATCCCACGTGTTTCATTCTTAATAAGGGAAAGAAAATATCTTTTTAAACTAATTACCATAATGCCCTTTACTTATTCCATAATTATGATTTAATCCAATATTGAAATAGTCCTATTTAAATTCTTAAACTTATCAATTTCCTTAAATTGATCCTCAAATTCCAAAAATTCTCATTTTAGTCACTAACCCGAATTTTGGGATGTTACAAATCTCCTCTCCTTTAAGGAAAATTCGTCCTCGAATTTTCACTCTACCTCCAGATGAAGCAATCTGTTATAATACTCTACAACTCTTAACAATAATTACTTATTGATTCAAATCAAATCTTTCAATTATCTCTCTAATTACCACTTACTAAATACTATGATGATTCCCAAATCTATTAATCATCAAACTATTTTACCACGATATCGAAATTTACCTGCCAACATCTCTGGATCATTGAAATCTTCATCAGTCCTTAAATTATAAACTTGTGCAGTTGGTTGCATATCATGTTGAGTGAATGACTCCGATCGATTTCTTCTATGACCTCTACCTCTATTTCTTTGAGATACCGCTATAGATCTTTCTCTCTATACTGTCTATTCAGTCATAAGTGAACAATCTCGAATAAAATGTCCAACATCCCCACATCTAAAACAAGCTTCGGAGATTACTCTACATACCCCTGTATGATTCTTTCCACAATATGAACATTGCCTGACTTGACTGAGATTTGATCTTCTATCAATAAAAACGTCTTATTCCAACATATCATGTGTTGGAAAATCCCATTCCCTATTTTTCTTGGATAGAGAGGAGCTCGACGAAGCACCCATCTTTTAGACT